AAATACCTAGGAATAAACTAACAAATGTAAAAATCCTCTACAAACCACTGAAGAAAGAGAGTGAGAAGACTATATGGAAAGATGGAAAGATCTCCCATACTCATGGATCGACAGAATCAACATAGTAAAAATGGCTATGCTACCAAAAGCAATCTACATGTTCAAAGCAATTACCATCAAAATCCCAATAACATTTATCACAGAGATTGAAAAATCTACCCTAAAGTTCATTTGGACTTTGAAAAAAAACTGCAAATAGCCAAAGCAATACTGAGCAAAAAGAGCAATGCTGGAGGTGTCACAATAGCCGACTTCAAACTATATTACAGAGCCATAACAATAAAAATAGCACGTACTGGCACAAAAACAGATATGAAGACTAGTGGAACAGAATAGAGAACCCGGATACGAATCCACACAGCTACACCCACCTTTTTTTGACAAAGGCGCTAAAAATATATGATGGAGAAAGGGCGGCCTCTTCAACAAATGTTGCTGGAAAAGTGGTTATCTGCCTGCAGAAAACTGAAGCTAGATCCATGCCTGTCACCCTCTACTAGTATCAACTCAAAGTGGATTAAGGACCTTAATATCAAACCCCAAACCTTGCACTTAATACAGGAAAGGGCAGGGAATACTCTGGGAGTAATAGGTATAGGCAAGGACTTCCTCAGTAGAACTCCAGCAGCCCAGCAACTAAAAGAAAGTATAGACAAATGGGACTACATGAAATTTAAAAACTTCTGCACAACAAAAGAAATGGTCTCTAAACTAAAGAGACCACCATAGTGTGGGAGAAAATATTTGCCAACTATACATCAGATAAAGGACTGATAACCAGAACATACAGGGAGCTCAAAACTAAACTCCCCAAAAATCAATGAACCAATAAAGACGTGGACAAGTGAATTAAACAGAACTTTCTCAAAGGAACAAGTCCAAATGGCCAAAAAACACTTGAAAAAAAAGCTTACCATATTTGGCCATAAAGGAAATGCAAATCAAAAACACACTAAGATTCCACCTCACTCTTGTTAAAACAGCTATCATCAAGAACACCACTAACCACAAATGTTGATGAAGATGCAGGGGAAAAAGGAACACTCATACACTGCTGGTGGGAATGAAAGCTAGTACAACCACTTTGGAAAACAATATAGAGGCTTCTTAAAAAAACTAAACATAAACAAAACAAAACAAAACAAAACAAAAAAACCCTAAACATAGATCCAGCAATATCACTCCTAGGGATATACCCAAAGGAATGTGACTCAAATTATTACAAAGGCACCTGCACACCCTGTTTATTGCAGCACTGTTCACAATAGCCAAGCTATGGAAATAACCAAGATGCCCCACACTCATCGAATGGATTAATGAAATATGGTATTTATACACAATAGATTTTTATCCATCACAAAGAAGAATGAAATTTTGTTATTCACAAGTAAATGGTTGGAGCTGGAGAACATCATCTTAAGCAAAGTTAGCCAGGCTCAGAAGGCCAAAACTTGCATGTTCTCCCTCATATGCAGATTATAGACCTAAATTGAATGCAGTAATATTATTGGACATAGGTCATACACTAAGGGGAGAATGTGCATGGGAGGAATGCAGAAAGGGAAGGAAACCTAAAACTTGGATGTGGTTGATGTGCTCACTGTAGAGGAGTGAATATAGTAATCTTAAACTGGCAGAGGCCACTATGGTAAGAGGACCAGAAGTAGCAAAGAGGTCTGGTGGACATGAACCCATGTGGGCTGCAATACATATGTGCATGGAAGCAACTCTAGGAATCTCTTTGTATAGGTATCTTTATCTCAAACTAGCAAAAACTTTATGGTCTTCTTATTATGTCTTATTTTTTCAACAAAATTGGAGAACAAGAGGACAGGACAGGTTCTGCCCAGAAGCGGGGGGCGGGGCTGAGGGGGAAGGAGGGGGGCAAATAATGTATACACATGTGAGTAAATGTCAAAATGATAAAATAAAAAATAGAAATAAATATACATTTAAAAATGAATTTTTTTCTCCCACAGATACATTTTTCTCCTTACTTCTTTTTGATTAAGCAAATTGTGGTTCAAATCCAATTATAGATCTTCATCAAATATCAAATCTTTACACATCAAATCTTTTGCCCTTTGTCTATTTATCTGTCAAATTAATTCTCGGAAACTGAAAAATGAGTGGATGTATGAAAGATCTTATAGATTATAGAAAGATAAATGTTATCACTCACTAACAGTACCAAAATCTTTAAAGACACTTAAGAGTTAGGTAACTTTATTCAAACATGAAAGCTATTTACAATGAAGAGGCTTATATGTAATTACTTATTATATGTAATTTATAAATTGCATATAATAGTAATTTATTCATAATTCAGAAATTACATATAAATTATTAACTTCTCAGAGGGAAATTGTCATAAAGCAATGTAAGAAATGTGATTTGAGACTCTTCCTTATTTGTATAGCTAACAGTAATGTGGGTGCCACTTGATTTCTGAACACTTGATAATGCCTTTTTGCCATATTTTTCAAACATCGTAGTGTTTTATTTCTACTCCCTTGATTCAACTCACTGTATTTTAACTCCTTGTGAGACTTTAAAATAAATAATGTTTCATTGATGGAAGACTAGGAAGAATTAAACAAATCACTAAATCAGGAGAAATGTGTTTGAAAAATAGATATTTCTTTAATAAAAGGAATGGTCCACTGGTGTATAGAAAACTTCAAATATATTTACTTCTTTTAAATTTTCTGAAGGAATAGCTCATAGAAAATTGGAATGCACATGTGATTTTTTTAGAGTATAATTATAACACTAAGCTACGTAAATATTATTAAAGAAACAATAAAATATTTAGGAGCATAATGAGATTCCATATTGTTTTCCTTATTAGGTTTAGGTACATTCTTTAAAAGACATACATACAATAGATAGGTAGAATAGATAGGTTGAACTTAGAATAGACACAGTCAACATACCTTCACCAGGAAGATATGGCTTCTACATTGATTTTAAAATTAATAAGTAGAAAAGCAATTTATGCGGTAGGTAAATCAACAAGAAACATTTCCATGTGTATCACAACATAGTGTACATGTTCCTATTTTTAATCACATATTTGTAAAAACATCTGGATAGCTTGCAACATTATTATTACTAAAATTAGACATTGTTGTTAAAATGCATTTACAGATTTGTTGTCTCTTGCAACAGACACAATCACTTTCTTAGTAATAGCAGATTATTTACAGATTAATATCTTTCCAATCAATAATGGCAAGGTCTCCAATAAACAAAATGTAATGCTCACAGATAGATGGAATATATAAAATCATTTAACAAATTTCACAGGATAATGATCAAGTAGAAACCCCACAAAGTTAGAGTGAAGCTACTATAAATGAGTGAGCAGTCACCAAAGACAATGATAGCAGTCAACTTGTATCAGTGCTATAATTACAGGAACAGAGCTATAAAGCTATTTATGGAGTGCATGCACCTTGCATGGAGCCTCAATTTTCCAAAGCTGAGTCTCCTCTAGAGAGTAAGAAGTGGTAGCATCACTCTTTGAGAATAACTCTTAGAAAGTAACTCTGACTGCTGAAACTTGTGGGAAAAATCTTACCCTAAATCCTCCAGTGGCTAAAAATTAGAGAATAGAATTATAGAGAGTTGGAAATCAGGATTATTGAATGATGGTATTATGGGAAAATACCTAAAGCTGATTTGACTCATTGATTTTCCTGAGATGGATGCCATGTTGCTCTGGTCAATTTCCTCACAGAGTAGGTAATTATTAAAATGAATGCACTATTCAAACAAACCAGAAAAACTAGTTAAGCATTAGCATATATGAAAATCATTATTTAATGTCCTTCTAGGAATAAAAATAATGTTCAGTTCAACTTGTAGGACAAAGACTAATTATTAGTAGTTTATTATTTTTATTACCAGTCTGCACGTTCTATATTTTTTTAATATGGCAAAAGGTATTCTACTTCCAGAGAGTGGATAGTACCATGCTCTCCTGATGGAAGATTTTGCTATTTTTTTATAAACAGAAATAAGTTTCATTGGTTGACATTTCACTTTTTGGAAATTACATATACCAATGATTTTTTTAGAAGTCTTGATATGATAATCTAAAACCATTAAAATAACCAGGAGCTGTTTAATAGTACTTCAATGTTCTATATTAACTATTCATTAGCAATAAAATTATATCTGTTCAGAGAATACAAAGATAAATTTCAACATATTCACCAGCATAACCATAATCCTATTATATTTTTCCAAGAGCCAACAGAAGTATATATAATTCATTTTCTGAACCAAAATATGCATACTTTGTTATAAACAGAAAATATTTGATTTTCTAAACTTGACTTTAGAAACACAAAATGTGTTTTATTTGCTGAGATAGTATCTTCTTCTAAAATAATTTTTGATTGAATTCTTGTGAAACTAACATCCACTGATGAATGTTCTGAAATTTGAGTCTTTAACATAAATATTAAGGAATTGAGACTTAACAGGAAGAAAGAATGAATCACATAAGAGAATAATTATCAAAATGAAGTCCTTTAAGCTAATACTGATCTGTTTTATGTTCCTAATATTATCATTATCTAGACAATTAAAAATGTAAAGGTAATAGGTTTACTGCCTTCTCACCCCCTCTTCTCCAATATCAAACACACTATATAGAAGTCAGAAAGGCCAGGTTGATTTCAAAAACTGATGTTTAGGGACAGGAATCAGAGGTGGTAATGGCAATACCAGAACAGGTTGATTCATCTTGCAAAATGCTTTCTAAGTCATTGAACAACTCAAGATCAACACACAGTATTACAATTGGACACTATTATTAATTGTGCCACAGTATCATCTCAAAAAAGCAATGTATGTGTGTTTATGCACAGATATACAGACTTATTTTTAAAAAGAGGTTTAGAGGTATAATGACAAAAAAAAAAACTTACTGCAAAGGCTTCAAAGATTTTCTTGAGTTCTCTGTGACCATGCTTTTCAGCAATATGTGCTGGGTCTGAACCATCTGTATTTTTCATCTTCGATGCCCAGGTTGCTCCTGAACATTGAAGCAAGTGAATAGCCAGGTTCTTTAAGCCAAATTTTGCTGCACAGTGGAGAAGTGTTGGAAGTTCTTTGACATGAGTATCTGAAAGTGTAGGAAATATTAGAATTTCAAATATTGTTATTACATCTGTAAACCTATACACAGTCAAACATAATCTATTCCTAAAAAGTAATGCCCAGAAAGCAGAGCAAATTTTTGGTGTATATTTTCATGTAAGAAACCATCAGTGATTTTTTAGAAACTCTCCTTTTTATTTCTCTGTTTAAGATATATAAACTATAATTCTTATTAGCATTAGTGTCCCAAACTTATTTGTAGGGTATGTTTAACTTAGAAATTCAATTCAATCTCTTAAATATAAAACAAAACAAAAACATATGTTGTAATGTTTAGAATGTGCTGTGACATTAGCAGAACACTAAATAACAACATTCTATTCTATAAGCTTACCTATAAAACCAATTTTTATTTTCCACTACCATGCCTCATTTATTTCCTTCTTAATCTGAAGTACACATGAAATTCCTGAAGGGTTTATATTAGAAGTTTTTCTTACAAAAATAAACTGCAACAGAAAATATATGTGGGCACTTTTATATGCAATTTAATAACTTTCCTATCAATGTTTTATATTTAGAATTTCACAATTACTTACAACTATTAATTGTGCATACTTATACAATGATGAATGTAAACTGCTATCACAATGGAAAAACATAGCATGGACTGGCGAGTGGTAGTTTATTTTTCTATAAAACTGGTTTTGGGGCTGGTAGAGTGGCTCAAGCAGTAAGAGTGCCTAGCAAGCATGAGGCCCTGAGTTCAAACCTTGATGCCACCAAAAAAACAACACAAAAAAACCCAGTTTTGTTTTACATTTAAGTGATCAGTGTGGCATTATCAGAGGCAAGGTATGAGGACTTGTAGCAACAGAAAAAAAGGCATACAAGCAAAAGTCACTTCTGGTCCAAATGCAATGCATAGTAGCCACGTTACAACATTTTTGAAAGCTATAAATGTATATGGCCTCACTTGAAACATTGCTATTTTTTACACAAAAGAGATAGAAAAGGGGGGTAATTAAACTTGGAGTTTCCACTTTACTTGGGTCTTTCAGGACTTAATTAATTTAGTTTTTTGATTTTGTTTTAGTAAAACAAAAGATACTCTTCAAGATACATTAAGAACTTACTGTAAAAAAGTATTTTACTCTTCCAAATTAAAAAAAATAAATAGATGACTATAGGTAGATCTATAATCTTCAATAATAAATATACTTACTCCTTTCTGTATGGTATATAGTACGTCAAAATGATCAAATATTTTATGAGAATTGATGAAAGCTGACACTATTAAAGATAGGTAGTAACTTTCTACATAAGAATGCATTTTCTTTAAAAACCATTATTATATAATTTTCTATTTATTTGCACTGAAATACATTATAGGAAACATTTTTCTGCTTTAGGTAAACCACAGCAAAGTTAGTAAAGAAAAATATTTACATGTTATTGTTAGTTTTTTACATGCCTTGATCACCTCACTCTTTGCTACATCATATGCTAAAGTAACATCACTTGCCAATCAGTGCTTTATGTAGTGTTCCTGCCTGCTGTTGTTCTAGTAAATCTTTAAATCAGACAATGCAGTTTCAGTATTCTTTCCATTAAAAAATGTTTAATCATTGCAAGAATACACACTTTTTAACATCATCAACCTCTCACCAGTACATTCCTCAATTTAATATGATGTAATATTGAAAACAATAACAAATTTCTCTGAGAATCTATTTTTACACACCAGAAAGAGTAGCAAGCATTGACAAGGACTGTTGTTTTTCTTATGAAAGGCTTCCTGAGAGAGGCTTCCTGTGGCCTGGATATCCACCCATTGTCAAAGAAAGAATGCTGATGAGATGAGGGACCCATGACTCAGGAATATTTTGTGCTATTCTTTCTTTAGTGTTTAATTGACCAACATGATCTTTAATGTTTTAGCCTAAAGGCACTTCTGTCTCTATTGGCTTTAAAATTTTTAGAAATATATACCACATTTAAAACTACATTGATCATGAGTTTGGATAAGTTTTGACAACTGTTTGCAGCAGCATGTCACTATCACCCAAAACAAGTTAAATAAAGGCATCGATCACACTAAAAGTACCCAGATGCTCAATTCTAGTCAATTCCCCACATGGTGTCAATTATTTTAAAATTTTTAGGAACACAGATAGGTTTTAGTTCTTGTTGGGTATCATGTAAGTGGAATTGCCAAGCAGGTGCTCTGTGTTCCATTGTCATCTGGCCTCTTTATTTCTGATGAGAAGTATGGTGTCATTCTTATTACCATTTTCCTGTATGCAGTGTATTTTTCTCCATACCCCTTTAACTCACCAACCCCCTACTACTTTTATGATTTTTCTCTTCATCTTTGATTTTTTATTTGCACAGGTATAATTCCTTTGTATTTATTCTGCTTAAGGCCTATCAATCCTTTGGGCTAATGTCCTTCATAAATTTTGGATTTCATTTTCTGGTGCTTCATTCTCTCTCACCCTAGTTAGGAAATTCAATTACACATTTGCTAGATTAATTTAATATTGTCATATATATATATATATAAAGAGCTAAGTCAATTTAATGCATAGATGAGCTGAGCTTAGTTTTCTTATGGCTTCCCTGAGGTTATGGATTTTTTTCTCTTCTATTTCAGATCAAATAATTTCTTTTTGAAAACATTTTATTAGCATGTATTAGTTATATAGGAGGGTTCAATTGTGACATTTCTATATATGCTTACAATGTACCTTAGTTAGGTTCACCCCACCATCATTCTACCCCCTCTACCACATTACTTAAAATGATTGCAGTTCAAACAATTTCCTTTGAACTGCCTTCAGATTCACTGATTCCTTACTCTTCTGTGTTGTTTTTGTTATTAAGACCATCTAATTTTAAGAAGTTTACATTTATAGTGATTCTGTATAATATTCATCATAGTTATTTTAATGTTCCTGATAATTTCAACATCTGCACATTTCTGTGTCTGCTTCTTTTGACTACTTCTTTTCTTGACTGTGAGTGCCTTTATTTCTTTGGTCATGTTTTTATAATATCTTCTTGTAAGTTTTGCACTGTATTAAAGGACCAAAGTAAACAATACTTAATCTCACAGCAAGACACACCATTTCTTTAGTCAAGGCAACTATTGTGGGGGCTGAGTCAAATTAATCTTTAGATGACCTGAGTTTGATATTCTTTTGTGGCTTTATTTAGATTCACTGCTGACCTCAAATATTTTTATGGCAGGATCACAGCTTTCTTTTCAGTTTCTCTTAGGAGCTACACTCTGGTGAGACTCAAGAAGTCTCTTTTGCTTTACCAATGGCTGCTAGCTTTCCTTTGGGTCACTGGATGGTTTGTTTTAGATCTCTAGTCTTGCCTTCAGCTTCCTTTCCATCAAAATCTCTCTCAGGGTCTTTGTAGTACACTCAGTTAAGGCAGACTCATTACCATTCTGATAGCTTGGAGGTATTTTTTCCAGCTTTCATGCCTTTCTATATTTAGAACTTGGGTGCTGTTGCTTTGTCTCAGCAGCCTGGTTCAATTCTACTCTTCAGCAACAGTCGTCTGGCTTTTAGGAAAGCATGAGAGTGTTTTTTAAGGATTTTTCTCAGCTTTTCTTCTCTACCTCCAGGCACTGCTATACAAACCTTTCACTCATGACAGCTTAGAATGTTGGTGAGTATTGCAGTCCTGCGGTATAGAAACAGGGGTTCTTTGGGATTCTTGTCTAACACAGGGTAGTCTAAATATGGGTATTAAAAGTTTGCTAAGTGTTAATCAATCTGATTTCTCTTTGCTTCTCATATATTGTAAGTTCTTATTCCATGAGAGATGAATGCAGTCATAAATTTTTTTGTCTCTTGCAAAAGAGTAGCACTTTCTGGAATTTAGTATATTTTTGTCATCAATTGTCTGCTTGAATAAAAAAAAAAAACCATGACTTTGGAGATCATCTTGCTTATTCCTGCTACAGTGGAAACAACATCTCCTGTGATGTACATCCTAGGAGGAGCAGAGGTTCTATTAGTCTCAATTCATTTACTATTTAGTCATTTTCTTAAACTCATAACATTTACTTTATAAACATTTTATGATCTTATCCATTAGATTAAAATAATGTATTTCTTAAAAAAGATATAAAACCCTTTTAGAATATGTTTAGGCTGTGGGGTATGTCTGCTTCATTTCAGGGCAATTTTCATTTAGTTAACTGACTGATTCATTGTATCTGTTTTTATTACTATGGTATGAAAAGAGAAGTCACAATTCAAACTAAGATATGGCAAGTTTGCTTTTTTATCCTTGACAAGAAAAGTTCTCAGTTGTTAGTTTTTTTCAGCTAATGTTTGTCAAATGGTAATTTTAGGAGAACAGAATAAAATATCTATGGGGAATTTTTCAAAGAAAGTTCAACTTTACTACTTTACAAATAAAAGTAAACCAATACATCAGTAGACAGCAAGGAAATTAAGTCACATAGTTTTCTGTACAAAGCTGTTGGTAAACTTTCAAGGGTAATCCCTAAAAAAGATGGCTAATAATTGATTGAAATAATCAACCCAAAGCTTTTAAAAGATTAACCTAGTTTAGTAGAATAATAAAATGGGAATATGCTCCACTTTAAAATATAAGAATAAAATAGAAATTTAACAGTAAGATGATGATGGGAGTGGAAAATGCATGAGCATAGAACCCATTTGTTCTCACAAATTACTTTCTGGAATATTAAATATTCATCCACTCAGAGTAAGATGACCAGGTGGCCACTATAGGACTAAACAATGAAGCACACAATAAAGAGAAGATTAGAAATCAGGAAGTCTGCATTTTAATCCCAGCTCAGTTACTAAACCTGCGCCCTTCATCTTCCTGGACCTCACCGTCTTCATTTGGGTAAGTGCAGTATTGGGGTAAGAATTATAGGACTTCTGGCATTCTTCTTTGTTAGATGCCATACCATACAGGGTTTATGTCAACAGACTCTGGAATGAAGTTTTCCCTGGGTGCTAATCACAT